CCCCCCCCCCACACACCACCCCCCCACCCATTGAGTGTAACATATACGTTTGTATTGTAGGATGTCAGAAATAGAATGGCTATATAATGGTTCTTGCTCTGTTTGAGCTTAAAGGCCTTGAAATTTTACCTTGGAGCTCATTTGGTTTTTAATAGGAGTCCCTGACGACTTCTTCAATGCTTGGTTTACAGACATTGCTGAGCCTGGTCGTGTGAGGGAGTTGAATAAACAACTGTTGAGCTGCAGGCATGAAATCAGTGGCAGCTGACATTCTCAAGCTTAGTGATGTCTCTGTCCAGGTCGCTCGATGTCACCAGCATTGGCTAGGAAAATGGGTGACTCCACAGTTAAGTACTGTCAATATAGTCAAGTACATTTAAATGGAAATGAATAAGTGATAAAAGAATAACCTCTCCATACATGTCCCTTTTCTATCTTTCCTGATGATTCTTGTCCTTGTTAAATTAATAAAACATTTAAATGAATGTCTACATTTATTCATTGCATTTGTGTTGCACCACCTCAGAAAAGCCCCTGCACTGATGTTTTTTTCCAATCTGTGTAGCTTTTTTTACAAGCATTTTTAATTGAGGTGTGCAAATTGCCTCCAAAACAATTCAGAGATATTTGAGTCTTTTTCACCTCATCAGGTGCTGGGGCTGAACCACTTTGCCCAAAGTAACAAGTGTTTTTTCTTCGCTGTGTAAACTGCTCATGTTTAGTGATTTTACCTATTTAAAAACCAAACCAGTATTGTAATTGTAATCCAGTTTGCATTCCACTGTTAGATTCTTTTCCAAATTTGACTCATTTAAAATAGACAAATGAGTCAAATGGTTCAGGTGAGAGTGACTGCGGTTGAATTCACCAGTTGATCGAGCGCAGCATCAAGGAGCCCTAGCAAAACCGAACTAACTGGGAATTGAGGGCAAACTGTTGGTTGGAGTTATACCCAGCACAAAGGAAGATGGCTGTGGTTGTTGGAGGTCAGTCATCTCAGCAGGAGTTTGTCAGGGTAGTGTCCTGGGCCCAACCATCTTCAGCTGCTTCATCAATGACTTTCTCTCCATCATAAGGTCAGAAGTGGGGATGTTTGCCAATGATTGCACAATATTCAGCACCATTTGCTACTACTTAGAAATAGAAGCAGTCTGTGTCCAAATGCAACAAGACCTTGAACTGACCAAGGCTTGACATGTGGCAAATAACAATTGTGCCAGGCAATGATCATCTCTAACAAGAGAATCTAACCATCTCCAGTTGACATTCAAGGGGATTACTATTGCTGAATCACTCACTATCAACATCCTGAGGATTATCATTGACCAGAAACTGAACTGTAAATACTGTAGCTACAACAGCAGGTCGGAGATGTAGCAGGTAACTCATCTCCTGTCTCCCCAGTGCCTTTCATATTCACTCTGAGGATATGGGCATCGCTGGCTGGATCAGCATTTATTGCCCATCCCTAGTTGCCCTTGAAGGTGGTGGTGAACTGCCTTCTTGAGCCACTGCAGTCTATGTGGTGCAAGTAGACTCTCAATTTCGTTAGGGAGGGAATTCCAGCATTTTGACCCAGTGATGCTGAAGGAACAGTTGCGTGACTTGGAAGGGAGCTTGCAGATGTTGGTGTTCCCATATGTCTGTTGCCCTTGTCCATCTACATGGAAGTGATCATGGATTTGGAATGTGTTGTCCAAGGAGTTTTGATGAGTTTTCTTGTTCATCCCTTTTAAATTCACCTCCAAGAAGAGCTGCCTACATTGAGAGGATGAGGAATTTGCAGCTGAACCCCCCCCAAATGAAATTTAATGGTCCAATTCTGAATACTCTAATGAAGTAGAAGAAAGGAGACATGTAGAGATATGTAGAGCAGCATGGTGTCAAGAGGAACCCAAACAACAATTCATGCATAGTACCCTAGCTAATGCACTGCCAAAACTGAGCTGTCGCCATTGATTTCTGAAGAAGGGTCTAGGCCCGAAACGTCAGCTTTCCTACTCCTCTGCTCCTTAGCCTGCTGTGTTCATCCAGCTCTACACCTTGTTATCTCTGTTACCATTGAAGTGCCTTACTCAGTCTGTTGTACACTCAAAATCTCTCACAAACATCTTCCACTCATCAAAATGAAGTTTGGAGCCTAGAATAGCAAGATCTTCATGGACAACTTCAACAGTGACAGTACTGAGTGCCAACTGCTATCTTAGTTTGGGAACTCTGGCATCATAGCGATATTGCTGCCCAAAGTAAGATATGTAGGAGAAAGCCAACTGAATGAACAAGGTGATAGAGAGGACTGCAGATGCAGGAAGTCAGTTGATAAAATGTGTAGCACAGCAGGTCTGACAGCATCTGAGGAGCAAGAAAGCCAACATTTTGGGTCTGGACCCTTCTTCAGGACTGGGGAGGGGGAAGGGAGCTCAGAAATAAATGGGGGGGGGTGTGTGACTGGGGGAAGGTCAGTTGGATGGTGATAGGTGATGCAGGTAGGGAATTTTAGAGATTGGTCAGTGGGAAATATTTTCGTCCCCACCCGTATCTACTTTCCGTAGGGATCTCTCACTCCACGACTCCTTCATCAACCTTTCCAAGTGCCTCACCTGCCCTTACACTGCCCCTCTCACAGCCATCCAAGGCTCCAAACAATCCTTCCAAATCTGGCAGGGATTCACCTCTACATCTTCTAACCTGATCTATTGCTTGTGCCTCATGAATACCCAACTGACCCTCATCAGAATTGGCATGTCGCTGTCATCAGTGCATACGCTCCTACAGTTGAGTCAATGGACAGGACGAAGGAGGAATTCTATTCTGAACATGATCCCTAGCCTGAGTCCTAATGGATGACAAACCGATCCTCTGGAGGTTTCAACATCATACTCTAGAAGGACAAAATTTTGGAAGAGTGTGATGGGTAAAGAAGGAGTAGGGAAAGCAACTTCTAACAGTCTTCCTCCTGATGAAATATCTTGAATGTGACTTTGTCATAACTAAAACCCTGTTCTGCTAGAGAAACAAGCACAAGACTTTGTGGCAGCACCAGTGGTGTGAACAATGGCACTTGCCTGATAATACGAACTCGAACAAGGGACCACAGATGTCCACATCACCAATGATATGACAGGTACACATTCATTGCTGCCTTATCTAACCTCTTGCCATCCCCAACAGCCTAGCTCCCAAATAGTCAAGGTAATAGAAACGATGCACAAGAAAATGAACATTGAAGGCTTCAAAGGCCCCGTTGAGAAAGCCCTGCTTATTTCAGAGCCTCAATTCAGTGTAGATGTGGTAAGGTTGTTTCCCCTTGTGGGATAGACTAGGACTAGAGGCGATATTAGTACATATTCAAGAGTAAGGCTGATTTTATTAATCAAAGGAATCGAGGGTTATGGGGAAAAGGCAGGAAAATGGAGTTGAGCATGGTCTCATTGAATGGTAGAGCAGACTTGATGGACTGAATGGCCTACATCTTATGGTCTTTTCATGCTGACCTCTCATCCTCCAGCCACTAGGAACTACACTGTGTCGATAATGCCTGGCAAACCCTGAAGACCAGCATAGCAAGTATGTGCAAAGAGGTCCCTGATCTCTCTATCCGGGAATGTGGTGACAGGTTTGAAAATAGGACCTAACCATTTTCATTGACTGGAAACTCTTCCACAGCTCAGTGGCAGTTCTACAGATGTCTGAAGGCAGTGATACAGCAGTGAACTCTGAACATAAAGAACAAACAGTGGAAAGAGTGTAGGAGGTCTAAACACTTGTGGACATCCATGATGTGGGGTTTCTTCAGTCTTGTCAAGAGAATCTATGGCCCAGGCACTTGACACCCTACCTCAAACAGAGTTCATCAATGACAAGAAGGCAGTTGGCACTTGCCAAGAGAATATTTTGAACTCCACCAGCAATGATAGACCTGAGACAATAGCCACACTTGTTTAGGCGTGGATATTTTCTAAATACCCTCTTCAGAAGTCTTATGTCACACCTCTGGAGCAGGTGGCACTTCAACCTGGGCCTCTTGATCTGGAGGTAGGGATGCTACCACTAGGCCAGAAGAGCCCGTTGTCATGGTGTATGATGAGTTCAAGCCCCAGGTGACTGGTACATTTATGCTGCCTTGTTTAACTGATTTTAACTAGCAGAATCCTAAACCTGCAAGAGAGGAGACCTCTGGCTCCAGTATAAATTAATTGGGATTACTGGCTGAGTGCCAGCAATGATTTACACACAATTTCCAGGAATCCAAACTAATCCTCTTGAACATTGCTACTGGGTGTTTGTAGCTGTGATATTTGCCAGTCCCTGCTCCATACTCTTCACTGTATCCACAGTGATGTGGATTACCTTCAACAGGCACGTATTGAATTAGAATTAGAATCCCTACAGTGTGGAAACACGCCCTTCGGCCCAACAAGTCCACACCGAACCTCAGAGCATCCCACCCAGATCCGTTCCCCTATGACCCACCTAATATACACCCTCTACCTCCCTGAACACTACGGGCAATTTAGCATGGCCAATTCACCTAACCTGCACATTTTTGGACTGTGGGAGGAAACCGGAGCACCCGGAGGAAACCCACGCAGACACGGGGAGAATGTGCAAACTCCACACAGACAGTCGCCCGAGGCTGGAATCGAACCCAGGTCCCTGGCGCTGTGAGGCAGCAGTGCTAACCACTGTGCCACCGTGTCGCCCTAAATTGTTCAAAATGTTACTCAACTGCAGCTGAAGGTGGGCAGATACCAGCTTCAAGCTATTGCTAATGTTTGATAAACTTAATGCCTGATGAACTGAACAAGCAAATGGAAAGGTAGTTGGAGCACAATCTCAAACTCTACCCAATGGAGAATGTTGTCACAAAAGAAGCTGTCGGTGCCATTAATGATTTTTCTGCCTGGAGCAGCTGGACAACAGCCTACTGTAGTAGAGCTCAAGAAAGCCATTGACCATCTTGCCAGAGGTGAATGCCCAGGAAACAATGGCATTCCACCTGCAATCGTCAAAAGTGGAAAACCAGCTAAGCCACAGCATCTCTATGAGCTTTGTGTCTGATGGAAAGGTTTGTCTCGAGACATGTTTAATGCAAAGTCATCTTGTATTTTAAAAAAAAGGAATTTTGGGGCCTGTAACGAGGCATCCCCTTAAGTATTCCAGGGAAGGTCTTTCCCTGCATTGCTGTGACTAGATTGTATAGATTCTGGCATCCTACATCTATCCTGAGACTCAGTGCAGCTTCTGAGCTACAATTTGACAGGTTTCAGTTTCTCACTTTGGCAGTTACAGGAGAAGTGCCACAGACAGCGCACACCACTCTACATGCCCTCGTGGACCTCACTA